AAGGAGGTTTGCGACTGTTTCCGCACAAGACGAGGCTGTTCAGCTTACGAAATGGCCAAGAATATTATAACTGCAACAATTCGAACCAGCTAGACTGGCTCTGAAGTACTGGAATACGAAGCCTACAGGGCCGCTCAGGAATCTGAAACCTCTGTGGATACTAGTCTGAGTCCTAGAACATGAAAACATCTATTTGCGTGTCACTATGAATGCACCCCCAGTCAGGGCTCATTTGGGGTTAGCATTTGAAACTGGTGTGGTTGAACTCGAACTTTGGATGCTGAAGTTGTTCCTAACCTAAGTGGTCAGCGAACTGTACGATACTGTACTCGATAGCCAAATGAGAACTCATGAGAAATTCGTGAGATTTGCATTTTCTTCTCCTTCTGGATTTCTATAATTTGCTCCCAACTGTATACAAAGCTAAAAGACTACTTTTAACTTATCAGCTATTTTTAAGGCGATTGCACGCAATGCAGGACCGTGATGAAACCGACGACACACTATTCGAGGTTCCAATGCGAATGCCTGAAGTCGACTTCACAAGCCAAACTCCCGTCATCGCTTGACAAATTTAATGTACTATTTTATCAATTGTTCTTGTCAGATAAAGACCATTTCAGTAATCGTCTGAACTGTTTCGTTGCATTTCACATGGAATAACTATCAATCCTATCATTGAGGCCAAAAGCTTGGCAAAGCGATATCTGTTTGAAGTTTATAAATAGGAAGGAAGACCTCTTACATGCAGACAGTGGCAAAAATGTAGCTATACACCATAGCATCTGTAAAACATTTCATCTAATATTATAAAAAAGTATACATGATAAATGACCTAATATTTTTGTCACTAACAAAAACATACTATGTTGTAATCTGCCCAGGATGGGCATCGGGTCGATTTTTCCTCATGAGGAAATTCATTTTTCTTGTCATATCCTCGTTGAAAATGGCATTAGATGCTTCGACGGAAAGCTGTTTCCGTTGCATCCATGGCTTTTGGTAATACTGTGTCCGTCGAATGAGTTTGAGCAATCCTTCCGAGTCCATCAACCTGAAGCAAGCATTTTTACCTTACTTTTTCTACGGTACTTCGACGTTTGCCGAGTCAAAGTTTAGCATCCATCTTGTATGGATATTTTCAATTCAAAAATGTTCCCTGCCAAACACTCGCTCGGCAGTCAGTGTACAGCCGAATAGGATAAAAGGGTTGAAATAGCACGTGCAAGGCTCCCCTTTCTTAACAATTTGGGGCGCGGCCGCGGCGAGCACGGAAGAGTCAAGAGTGCCGCGAACTGTGTGGTAAATTTGAAAACGCTTTCACTCTTACATCAACTACTGTGACGTCGCGACCCAAATCGTGAAGGAAGTGTGGGGAGCATCCCGCAATTGAAGATCTGAGGAGGAGGACCAGCTCCGAGCGAAGCAATCGTGACGCGACAAAACTCTGCGGTGAGAGCTTATCTGAGGTGGCAAAGTTTGAAATATGGGAGATCACAGTGGCTCATCGCTGCTGTCTATACGAAGTTATTACGGGAGCATAAAATTGAGGCGCTTTGAAGGTAGTGGTCACGATAATTCCTATGAAGAGGACAAGGAAAGTTATGTACTGAATTGGTTACGAGTCTTGCCTAATGAGACAACAGGTAGTTTTTCAGTGGAAGTGACGCCTTATCAACGGCATGATAAGGCGCGGAAATCCACTTCGGGTGCGGTTCACTAGGACAGAAAGTGGCTTTTTCGCGTTTCGCTGCGCGAAACGTTTACCGCTGCGGGAGCCTCAAGTCCACTCGCTAATCAATCAGTCGGACCCCGAGCATACGCAGCGAACAACATTTCGAAACGCGAAAAAGTCGCTTTCTGCCCTAGTGAACCACACCCATCACCTTCCGGGTAGCAAAATCAAATCCATTTCGATGGGAAAAGAGTTGCAGTGGCAGCGTACTAGATATAATATCGTTATCGCTAATTGTTATATTTATCATTGTTTTCATTCTGAAGTGCAACTCATTCAAAGCAGCCGTATCTCCTTATCTTCTGGTATCGTATCTTCCATGAGGTTACATCATCCAACAATGATATATCTCAGATCTTACCAATTGATAAACGCGTGTAACAGAGCACGTGAAGCAGCCGTCGATCGCTTCCTCTAGAGAAGAGATTACGGAAAATTTTCTACGGGACGATCGAAAACGACTAGTGATGTATAGGTCCTACCCATCAGGTGAGGACAGTGACGCCTTATCCGCGGCGTGATGAGGCGCCGAACGTGATGAGGCGCCGAACTCCCCTTCCGGTTCGACGTTACACCTCATTATCAGATGTGGAAGGGGATGCAGTAGCAACGTGCTAGATATACGGTCACCGTTACCGTTCGTTTTCCAATCTGGAGTGCACCTCATTCTAAGCAGCCGTATCTTCTTATCTAACTTGCGTGTTCCATAAGGTTAGCTATCTTCAACCACTAACTATCTCCGACCTTATCGCTTGATACCGCGAATTCCGGCGATCCACGTGGAAACCAGTGTGATCGCTTCCTTTAAGGTCTATTAGAGTAAATACTAGACCGTCTCAAAGACGTCAGGTGGTGCGCTAGGCAGAAAGCCAGTTTTCTCACGTTGAAGGCACGAAACATTTTTCGGCCGCGAGTACAATGTCCACCTCATGACGAACGCGTTGGACCTGGTCCCCACAGCGAAATAATTCGCGCTGCAAAAAACTTCTGTCCTAGCGAACCACACCCAAGGCGTTGAGCGCTTTGCACCAAAATGGCCCCTACCCTTACTTGAAAAGATTCCCAACTAATACATGGTATACATAGTGCAAGCAGTGAATAAAGGTATGACAAACCAATCTGAGAGAAAACCGTTACAACTGACCTGTTCAAAAGACTAAAAGCAGCATCCACGTCATTGTTTTTGACGAGAACTGTTCTAGTTGCGAATCGTGGATGCGCATTCCAGATGCCTGAAAGACTATGGTAGGTTAGCGCTAGGTTTTAAAAACCCAGAAACTGATCAGGTAGCAAACCGCAACCAAAGTCTCACAGAACTTAATTATGTTTGTTAGCAATCGCCCACACCTGAGAAAAGTTTGACAGCGAACGGCTGCGTCAATGTCCCACGCCAGCGTCTTACCATCTGAATCAAGAGGGAGTATTCAGTTTTCTTACTAAAGAAAATAATACCAAAAGAACTAAGTAAATAACAGTAAAAAGGAAGACCGAACAGAATACTGTGGTGTCGTATACTTAAAGGTGGTCTGTGTACTGCAGACATTAACTTAGACGTCATTTATATGGCAGCGCCTGTACTTTCACTCACGACAAACCTTCCAACGAGCGCCGATACTTGTCTGGCGGTCCTTTCTGTCCTTTTTTTATCACCTTCGGTTTCGTATATCCTTGTATTTGATACCATTTGTGAGGGCTTCCGAGTAGCAATCTCTTTTGGTGCTCACTTAATTTGTGAATGTGCTATTGTTACTTCCGGAACAAATAGCTCGATCTCTTTGACAGTTTATTAATTCTTGATTTTGTTCCTTCTCAAGGTGAAAATGTCGCAACCCAATCATAAACCAAGCGGGAAGCACAAGAGGTATGCTCTAAAAGTTTAGCAAGCTCTATGATCTTTATCTTGTCTATTCTTCGGTTTTTCAATAGTAACGTGCCTGTGTTGCAGCCGGGGTCCAGATTTTATCTGCAAGCCTCGTTTCCGGAATACACTTCCTGACGTGCCTTTCCCTGGAAAATTTTTGCCATGCCCTTTCGTGGAATTGGAAAGGTAAGGCTCTTTGTGGAGTCATTCATTCATGCTAGGTAATGGGATTTTCGGCCACTATTACTTTTCATTTGCAGGTTCATTGACTACAAGCCAACTTCCTTGGAAATGGAGTACAAATTTGAAGTTCAATGTGAGATGGATATCGGATTAAATCTTGATCTAATTGATCCCAATACATACAAAGTCGACAACAGCTCTGAAATTCAGGTCACTTATCTTTTATCAACATGTTTTGAAGAAAAGTGTCGACTAGAACTTTATGTTTTGTGCTTATTTTTAGAAAGTGAATTTCACTTTCCATCCATATTTGAGTGTTTCAACGTTGCCTTTTGTTTAGCTTAATGAAAAGGACGCATTACTTTTGGAAGATGAGGACTCAAATGCGAAGCAGATAAAGAGGTAATTTGCTCTAGCTTCGATTCTCTTAATCCTATAATGATAT